ATTATTTTTAATAGTGGAGTCCTACAACCCTAATAAAACTTTCTATATACTTCTTTTTTGTTTATTCGTAGTAGTTTGATTTTTTTTAAAAAGTACTTTAAATAATGTAAAATTAAATTGATTTAAACAGCCAATCATACGAATGTCTGCCTATGACCAAGCAGCACCATAAGCTTGTACTTTCTGATCGGAGCCTCCGTCAAAACAGAAGTCGATATTTTCTCCATTATAACTATCAATAACTATGGTGTAATTGTTCACACTATGATCAGAATAAAAGGTATTACCATTATAATTTATATACTGATAATTTACTTGTATTGGGTTCATATTTGTTGCATACGTCATCATTGAAACCACTAGGCTCATTGGTTGAAAAACACTATAACTATGTCCTGCACAACTATCTTGATCAGGTGCTTTAAAATTATCGAACGGTACACTACATTTTTGTTTAATACAAAAAGCATGTGGGGTTTCTGGAAATTCAGTGCGGTCTATACAAATTTCATCAGCTTCACAAGTATAGTCCGTGTCAAAAGGGTGATCTGGATCATCATCTCTTATACAATTTATCAACATTAAGTTTGGTTCATCTAAGGAGCATTGGGAAGCTAAGTATGTAGGGTATTCTTCAGGACATCGCTCTTCAAATGGTATGTCAGCTCGCTTAATTAAGGTATGTTGTTGAGAACACACTAAGGTTCCATGGCTACCTCTTCGAGGAACTAGAGGAGCACCTAAAACTACGGTTGCAATTGCAACTAAAAAGAAAGCGTGTAACTTAAATAAAAATATTCTCATTAATCTTTCTGGTACAAAAGACAAAGGAAAAGAAATATAAAACTAAAAGTGCTTTAAATTATTCTGAGAATATTTATACACTTCATCAAGCTATGATGTACATATTAATTTCTTTTTTTCGTTAATAAATTCATGAAAGTATTTAATACTTAATCAGCATTCCGCATAAATCTCGAAGGATATTACCAGTGACAAGTAATACGATTGGAAATTACTATGAACTAGTTAACTAGCATTTCTATATATCCGTCCCTATATATGTGTGCCTAAATTTCCCACTATAATTTAAAAGTAATTACGCCATTTAGGCAGCCGAAATTAGTCTTATATAATGTCGAAATTAATTTTCATATTTTTTAAATTATTATCGAAATTTTTCTTTATCAAAATAAGTATAGTTATTTCGGAGTAAAAAAATTTAGCAATGCCGAAATGTTTGCTGAAAATACTTTTTTTTCGAAAATAATTTAGGCACACATGTATATTCTACGTGCCCACCGCTAAATTTAGAAATTATAATGATTAATTGCCTAATTTAGAATGTTCTTTTTAAAATACGGTGCTAATGAATCCAATAATATAACATGGTTAGTGTTTTGACCCGGGTGGGTCTTACCCGGGTCACCCGCGGGTGGATGGGTCACCCGAGTTGAGTTGTAACAACCCGGGTAGCCAACCCACAGGTCAACCTGCGGGTCAACCCGCGGGTTGACCATGGGTTGACCCGTGGGTTCATAGGGAGACATTCTCGAGGTAGGACCGTCCATGTTGCGCAAGATTTTCAATTGATAAAAAAATTTTTTTATACGTTTTACGGGTAGATTGAAGAACAGTTAACTCAGTGATATTTTCGTGGTCATCACGTCAGATGATTAAATATTCGGCCTAAATTAGGGTTAGTGTTGGGGTCAGGTGATAATATAGTTTAGGCCGATTTGATAGTGTTAGTAAACAAATTAC